AAAGTTAGAATCTTGCTTACTCACTGTGTAGTCATGGTCAAATGACATCGTGTCTCCAAGGCCGACTGTAATTCCTTGCTAGCACAATTGTTATGAGGAATGGATATAATGAATGTCATATTCCCAACAAGTAAACCATGTGCGTGGTACATAGTAGGCAAACCATAAATGGTCTTGATTATATATTATTGCAAATAAACATCCCTGTGTGCCTTCAGAACCAAGACAATTTTAAGACTTTTTTTAGTTTTCTGAAAACACTCTTCTTTGATTTATAATGATTCCATAAGAAATATATTTCTGTTTAACCAAAGTATCTATTAATAAAAACACTTCTGGGGTGCCTTGGGTGGCTCAGTCAGTTGAGCCGTCAGCTCATGGCATGATCCCAGGGTCCTGCTCAGTTGGGAATGTAAGTGCTTCTCCCTCTCTCTCCGTCCCTCCCACTACTCGTGCTGTCTCTCACTCTTGCTCGCTCTCACTCTTTCAAATAAATAAATAAAATCTTTAAAGAAAAAAAAAAAAAACACTGCTCCAAACATGTCGATATAGATTACATCTTTCAATCTTTACAAAGTATTCATCACTTCGAAAAAAAAAAAACAGGAAATTAGTTCTACATTAAATTTTTATTATTTAAAAAGTATGTGCCTTGTATTTTAAGCAATGAAGGGTTTGAACTGATTTGATTTAGCAAAATTCATATGAGGAACATCTACAATATTGCAGATAAAATGCAGAATGGTCTAAATCAGGCTTTTCTATAGTAAGAATGAAATAATTAAAACATCTGACAGGGGCGCCTGGGTGGCTCAGTCATTAAGTGGCTGCCTTCGGCTCAGGTCGTGATCCCAGGGTCCTGGGATCGAGCCCCGCATCGGGCTCCTGCTCAGCGGGAAGCCTGCTTCTCCCTCTCCCACTCCCCCTGCTTGTGTTCCCTCTCTCTGTCAAATAAATAAAAATCTTAAAAAAAAAAAAAACTGACAAAGAGTAGTAACACCTACCATTTTCTCACATTCTCAAACTGTGCTAAATCCTGTTTCTTTTCTTCACAGTGATCAAAAAACCCATGTCCTTCAATTAGTTATGGAGAACAGAGGACCATATTATAACTCGTGATTTTAATAACCAATAATCGTAATAACAGCCCCGCCCCCCAGCTGGCTAGTACAGTAATAGGGAGAAGGGGATGGGAAGAAAGCGCGAGAGTGGTACTGCAAGTGCTCAAATGCGTTGTGAATACAGGGGAGGGACTGAAGCAGGGTGCGCTAGCTGCCATGGAGGAAGCAGCATGTGTCCCCTCCCCTTCCACTGGCTGTTTATCCAACATCAATACAACACTTTAGGAGCCAAATTACTAAACAAGCTGCCAATTAGGCTTGCAGTCAGCTGGACAGATTAGCAGCTAAGAGAGGCCGATACAAGATTTTCATCTCTTGAGCCAATTACGCAAGTGAATTACCATCCACAATACTCCCCGGAAGATTGGAGAGGAAAGGACCGACTCAGCTGTCATAGGCTAGAGCCCGCATAACAGGGCCTGGGAATGGGAGCCCAGGAGGGCTAGCAGCCTAGGTATTGCTAAAATTGCCCGAGCAGGAGGAGAGCCTTCCAGGAAAGGACTTAAAAGATTTAGCACTGCCAGGAGCAAAAGGAAAGGAAATTATGGTTGTAGGATGCTGTGTGGAGACTGAATTGTTCCACTCCCTAGTCTTAATCTCATGAAAAGGATGAGAGACCAACAGTAGATCTCACTCCAGAATCACTGTCCATGAAAAATGAACTGTTAGCTTGTCTCTAAGATTGCATAGAAAAGCTTTTTTTTTTTCTTTTTCTTTTCAGGAATCCATGTTTCTATGTGGAAGGATTTAGCATTTAAGAAATTAAATGTTCTTTTTTTTATTGTTTTACTTGAAAGTACAAGATAATGCTTTATCTTATTTTATTTTCATTAAGAAGAGAGATAAAAGCAGCACCTGAAAAACAGAGAGAGTGGGTTCTTTTCCATCTAGATAAAAAACACAAGTATGGGAGGATTCATGTGGCCACTCCTGGGACCACTGTGCTTAAAATATCAACATTTTTAAATGATGATGCTCAATTACCATTTGCTGTTCACTTTAGAACTGAGACATGACCACAATTTAACCATTTTTGAAGAGGTGTATTAAATTGGCCTCATATTTTTTCTTAAATGTTAAACAAATTTTAAACCTGAACTTTACAAGCTCTTGTATTCAAAATATGATTAAACAGATGTGTAGCCAGAACACCGTTAGACCTCTGATGGGTTTTGAGCTTACAGATGGAATTAAACTAATTTGTGGCAATCACTTAAAAATCAAGGATGTGGGACAGGATCCTAGCGCACTGTTCAACCTGATATACCTGATCAGCGGCAGTTCAGAAAATATTAGATATCTTGGAGGTCTGTCTTGGTTGCCACCACAATCATAATTTCAAAATAAAACTCTAATGGCTCTTTTTGTTGTTATATTAGGGAAGAGTTTGACAAAAGGCTTTTCTTTAGTTTGTGTGTGTGTGTGTGTGTGTGCATATGTGCACAGATTTTATATGTATATATAATGAATTATGAATTTTTTTATATACCAGTCATTGCCATTCAAGCTGTTTGCAACTAAAAGGTTTTTTTCCATTACACATTAAGATACTTGTTTCAGTGAGCTAAGACCCAATTTGACAAATCCAAAACCGACTCATTGTGGTAACCTGGTTCTTATTTATTCCCTGTTACTAATTCAGCGAATGGCAATAACGTATTCCATTCTTAGTCCTACAACATACTGAAGATTGAGACTACCACAATGTCCAATAAAGGGCTTTGAAAATCAATTGATTATAGTAAATGAATGTCCATTATTAAAACTTATTTCTAGCACTTTACAGTTTCTTTCTTCTACAACTCAGAATCATGGGGAACAATCCACTTGCTCTTCCCCAGAATGCCAGATACAAAGTACCACATAAACTGTTGGTTCAACCCTGCTATTTTGTTTATTATGAATTTTTTTACCATGAAATACATATCCCAAAGAACACATGGAAATGCAGAGGGACCATTTAAAGAACAAAATAATACACTGGCCATTTCTGTAACCACAGAGGGCCAAGAAATAGAACTTTATACTCTGCAGTCCCATAGGTAATATTTTTGTTATTGTTATTGGTGCTTGAGGATCCATCTTAAACATAATATTAGAGAAGGAGAGGGACAGAGAGCCCCAACCTTCTTGGGGGCGGGCGGTGAAGATGGAGTAGAAGGTGCCCTCATAATCCCCAGTCAGGGAGGAAAAATTGATGATGTTGGAAAAGGGGTAGAGGGGGCTTGTGGGTCGGTGCCAAAGAGAGTACTGAGTGATCTTGTCAACAGCTCCCCATTTCAACCCTCAGACTGTCCAGGAAGACAGCCGCCGACATTTCAGAGCAGAAATATGCTGGACCCAGGGCTGAGCTGGTATATATGCCAGAGGCATCCTCAGATCTTTGAAAAGGGAGACGATCTTTGGCCCTGAAGGACTAGGGAGGGAATGGTGGTCAAACACTGCATCCCTGTAAGTTTGCCACCTCAGAGTTTTACAACAGACTTCTTGGAAAGCCTGATAGAGGAGATGGGGCTAAATATGTTCTCACTAAAACAAGGATTGTTTTAAGATGCCCTCATCCCCTTTCCCACACCATCTCCAGTATTAGTTTGATAATCACTTCCTTCTTCTGCAAAGGGAGTAACCACAAGACATACTCTGGTAATTGAGAGTTCTGATTGCTTTAAACTGGTTATCTCTAGATTTGCTAGATTCCCCTTTCATACACCACAGCTGCTGCTACAGGATGAACAGAAATGGACCCCTCGGAGCGCCAGCCTGCTCCACAACAGGAGCACACAGACCAAGGCCAAATGTGCAGCTGAAGGAGGGAGCTCAGGTTCTTGTGATTCCTTGACATTTACATCGATTAGTTTCTCAGTCTTTTGACTTTAGATGCTTAGTACTTCTGCACTTTCCCCTAGAATCAAATGTACAGTTTATAAGCTCAACTGTTTCCATAAGAGCCTCCAAGAAAATTTAAAGTCAATCTTTGAAAATGCCATCAAATAGAAAATGCTTAAAATAGGTACATCTCTCAGTTGTCTTTGCGAAGAACATAGGGGAAACAAGAACTATTTCTAAATCTCATGATAAGCACTGCCCAATCTCCTTTTCCTAAATAAGGAATGAAGGTAGGTAGGAGATCAGGGACAGAGGGGAAAGGGAAGAATTATTTTATATATAGCACTATCGGTAACTTTAATATTCTTGTCCTCTATTTTTTCCCTTCTTGCCTGCTTCTGTAGTGATCAAAAACATAGACATGGAAGAAGGAGGAAGAAAGGAATTATTATAGTCCAAATGATAAATAACAAGAAGAGGATTAGAACAATGTAAACAATTCCTAGGAATTAGGGATGCCGACAGTTGTGCTTTTTGTTTGGTTTGGCTTTAGTTTTGGTTTTATTGAATGTCAAGGCCCCAGGCAAATATAAGATATTATGGTGGTAAGTTGGTGATTTTCAGAATTACCATTGAGGCTAATGCAGGAATGAAAATAAATCTCTTTGTATTTTATCAGTTTATTAAGGCTACATTGCATACACGATCTCAACTGATTCTTGCCACTTTCTGTGAGGTGGACAGTGGACATTGTTCCACCTGCTTTACAGATGAAGAAACAAAAGCCCCAGGAAGTTGAATAACTTAGCTACTAAGTAGTAGAGCTGAAACTCTAAACGAGATCTCTCTTCCATTGATTCCTCTATCCCTACAAGCTCCTCATCCCAAGATGAATAAACAGGCCTCCTCACCACCACCACCCCTCCATCTGTGTACCTTGTTGAAAGAAAAACATAGGAGAATGATTTTCTTAGCTTGAGAGGATCTTCACTTATGTCTGTACTAATATGTTTTGGGGGTTGTTGTGTTTTTTCTGCCATTCTGTAATTTCAGGATTTGTAGGGGAAAACGCCCAACCGATCCTCGAAAACAACATTGGAAACCGAATGCTCCAGAACATGGGCTGGACACCTGGGTCAGGCCTTGGACGAGATGGCAAGGGGATCGCTGAGCCCATTCAAGCCATGCAGAGGCCAAAAGGATTAGGTCTTGGATTTCCTCTACCAAAAAGCACCCCTGCAACTGCCACTCCCAATTCAGGAAAATCCGCCTAAGAAGAAAAGCAAAGAAGAAATGTTTTACAATTTTTAGTCACGATATATATCCCATTGTCCTAAAATGACAACATAGCTTCTGTTTTCGAAGCAGAAATCTACATTGCCTCAAACTCATCACTCTAGCGTCCTTACTGCATTCAGTCCTGCCACAGGGAGAGAGATGGGGTTCCATCACAATTCCTGGTGCTGAAGTGAAAACCTTCACCTTTTAAAATTTGCAGCAATTTTCAGCTATTTCTAGGTATAAAGAACAGCTCTCCTATTTATTTTGATCTCATAGGTCAGTCATTTCTAGCTTGATTCGTTCATGTGTGTGTGCAATGCCCAGGCAAATGTGAGCACACCCACAGGTTTCTCAAATGGGATAGGCCAGAGAGGATGGTGTTTCCTATCATCCCTAGAACTTGAAAGACCTATCATCACATCAGTCCTAAGCAAATCTTTATTTGAAAGGCTTGCCAATTTCACGTTCCCCGAATTTGGCTCTTTTGTGAGGATGCTGTAACCGGGTGGTACCAATTAATCTCTCCTTGGACAGTGTAGTATAAAGTTCACAGCTGACAAACAACAACTAATGTTTCCCTCTGACATTTTGACCAAAATAAACTTCATCATTGTCACCAGAGTGCCCGCAACATTACCTTAATGCAGATTTTACAAATTTTACCTCATCTAGAACATAAAATAATTGTCGAAAGAAAAATGTATTTTTTAAATTTACCATGACTGAACTGTAAATTCTATTAACCTAGACTGACTGCTACCTCTCTCTTCCCAAAGGTTGATATTTTTTTAAGATCAACGCAACTGTGGTAAACTAATTTTCAATTTAACCGTTGGAGTAACTAATAAGAATTATCGAATCAATTTGTTTGAAAATTTAAATGGCTCTCCCAAGAATTCAGATTTCTGGCAGTGATCCAGCCCATTTATAAGGTGAACAAGAAAATGAATGGTAATGATTTGCCCTTTCTAACATCTAAGTAGTTACTTTAAAACCAAGCAAAACAAGTCATTTTTATTATGTGCCTCCTATTGTTATTTTTTGAATCATCTGCTTCATAATGCCAGAGATGCTAAATTGCTCTTAGCTTAGAAGATGTTGATCTTCATTATTAAAGACTGATAATATATTTATAATGGCTCTTATTGGTTGAGTAAAGGTCAAGATAACACATGTGGATCACCTTTCTAATGGAGTTTTTTAAGGCTTTTTTTTTTTTTAAGAGCAGTTTTAGGTTCACAGAAAAATTAAGGTACAGAGATTTCTCATATACCCTCTGCCCCCAGACATGCACAGCCTCCCCCATTATCAGCATCCCCCACTAGAATGGGACATTTGTTAAAATCGATAAGCCTACATTGACACGTCATAATCATCCAAAGTCCACAGCTTACATTGCAGTTCACTCTGGTCTTGTACATTCCATAGGTTTGGATAAATACATAATGACATGGATCCACCATTATAGTATCACACAGAGCAGCTTCACTGCCCTGAAAATCCTTGATGCTCCATTGTAGTAGGTTTTAGAATATTTTGCAAATGTTTTTTAAAGGAGGGAGAGGAGGTTTGTGCATATAGTAGACCTTTCCTAGGTGGTCTCCTAACTGCCAGTTGAGGAGAAAGAAGTCAGCCTGCCATTGGAGAGCTTCTATGGTTTGCCAAATGTACACATTTCTTTTAAGAATTATCTTCTTTCCTAGGGGTATTGTGGTAAGAGGACAGGTTGGTTAAGGGATTATAGACTACCAGGTAAATTGCTCTTTGAGGCATTCTTATTGGATAGAGTAACCCTGTTGTATCATTATTTTTATAAGTTTGTTTCTTTGAAATTTGCCATTTTTTTAAAAAGTGCTTTTTGTTAAATACTCATTCTAGCTATGTAAGCAGGAAAAGTGGAAATCATCTATATACCAGGTTGAAACTTCTTTATGATAGTGTAGAATGCTCTAGGATCTATCCAAAAGATTTTATTTTTAAATCCATTGCCTGAAAATCTCCTAAAACCCTAGAATTTTGAAAAGCCAAATTTGGAGCCACTGATCACACACAGTGAGGTTATCGTGAGACTGGTCCCAAACTCCTGAGGACTTGGCTGGCTGTTCTTTTTCACTCTGCGATGTTCCAACCCTCATAGTGAGGAAGAGCAGAACATATACCAGCTGGCATGGGGAAGCTCTTCATTAAATTTTACAATCTTAATGAATATTTTGTATTGTTTCCCTTCTGGAAAGGTACTAGTCCTCTGAAGCAGCCCCTCCGAGATGCTCACTTAGCTTGGGTGTTGTTCTCAAACACTCCCTCCAAAGTAATTCATGTTTACATTATCAGGAAGCAAAAGAAAGGTCAAATTCTTGACGTGTAGAGCCCTCTATGTGGCTCTCAGAGGACTTAAAATATTTTTTATGTTATAGAAGTATTTAACTATACAGACTATATGAATCAGTACTCCAAGTAGAGAAGTGACAACATCCTAAACTTCCCCCACCCCACTATTAGCACACAAACATACATCAGAAGCACATACATCCCTTCCCCGTTCAGTCCTTAAGAAAAATCAGTGCAGACCTGATGTTCTATTTGTACCCAAACTTAATTGGAGAAATAAACACAATTAAAATACTGAATTTTTAATGTAAGTCAAATATCTTTTAAGATATGAAGCCCACTAATTTGTGTTTCACATATAGTTCTAGTTAATTTTTACCTGCTTGTTACTATGCACTTAGAACCCGAAGCATCCAAAGGAATTCATGATTTAGAATGCACATTCATGTCTTCTGAAAAAGGTGGTAAGATTTTTCTCTGCTCCTTTGTGAAGCCACTTTTCTATTCTACAGTATCTAAAGCCCCACATCAAATTAATCAGTCATGCTAAAAACTTTAGAGAATACATAGGTCTCTTCCTTTACTGTCTGAATTATCCATCCATAGATGTAGCCGAGAGAGGCTGAACATGACTACCTTAGCAGCTCAACTTTTTTTCTTTGTGTAAGTTGTTATACTTGATACTGATGAGACTGTGTGTTCGGGTCATTTCCTTCCTTCCTTCCTTCCTTCCCCCAAATGTAATTTTTTAAGGCTACATTCCCCTCAAATTTGTTTGCTTTCATTTTTCAGTTAAATGATACCCCTTTAAAAGAAAATGCATAAGGAACTAAAACTTACCAATTAATTGTCTCAACATTTGAATACATAGATTTTATAACTCATACCGTGGTTATCAAACAGAAGTTATGGTAGGGTTAAAGATATGCACAATGTATACATTAGGTGTGTTTACAGGGCACATATGTGTGCAATAAACAGACATGATTGTAAAATACTGCATTTTATTAATATGTTTATTTTAACATTGTGAATTGATATTCTTGTAATGAATTGAACTGACAGTTGCTTCTCTTCAACACATTTTCATTTTGAGCCGCTGTTTCGTGAAAGAGAAAACCATTTCTTCCTGTATTTTGTCTTTCTAAAGACAAAAAGTATTGTAAAATGAAGTTGGCTAGCAAAGACTATTTTGGATTTTTTTTTCCCTTCTGGTAGAAAGTTATATTAATAATACAACAAATAAAACAATGGTTAAAAATGTCATTTATAAGCAGTCATTGTCTTTGTGCTTTAAATGTTTACCTCCTAAAAAGTAAAGTTGAAAATACTCTTAAAAAATTTTAATTACTACCCTTTGACAATTAAGATCTAACAGTTAAACTCATTGTTCGTTTTTAAGCCCTGGAAAATTTGAATATTTCCAAAAAATTTTAGAGAAAAAAATTTAAATATATTTGACACACACATTTATTCACAGCTGATTGTGACCTGCTACATTTTCGTCATGTGTTTATTTTCTCTGAAGTTGGGCTAGACTGTCTCAAGGCCTCCTTCCACTCAAACATTCTCTGATTCTCAAGTAGCAAGTACATGTTCTCTCTCTGGTGGCTTGAAATATCAATGAGAATCATATATGTTCCAGTCACTCCATTTCCTCCTGGAACATTGTACCCTTCATAAACATACTCTGATATTTTAAATATCCTGTGATACTAAAGTGTTGAGTTTTGTTTGCTGTAAGAAGCATCTTACTATGTTGATAAAATTTTATCTTCTGTCCCCAAAAAACTAGAGTTGTTAGAGTAGGTAGATTATTTTTTTTATCCAGTAGGTATTAAATACTCATTTATTTAACAGGCTTGCAGTAATATATACTCAACTGACAAGTGGACCATGAAGGCTCCTTCTGCTGGGTTCCTACTAAGCAAAGACGCATTACTTTACACACCTGACGTTTTAAGTAGATCCAGATTTGTCTCTAGTGAGCCAGTGCCATTAACTGCCAGGAGTATGATCTACTATCGCCACTTTTAGTTTTATCTGTACATTAGAGTTGTCGTCTGTCTTTGAATTGTCAGGCAGTTTAAATCATTCCCAGATTCACAGACCTCACTCCTGTTTCGTTATCAAAATGTCTTATGTTTACCCCTTAATCTTTCAAGGATGAAGTTGGGTAACAATTGAAGGCGATTTTTGTGCTTGTTTAGGTTTTGTTTTTTGGTTTTTGTTTTGTTTTGAGGTTTGAATTTTCAAAATAAATCACTGGAATTTTAAATGTGTGTATGATACTTGATTTTTCAGGTATAAGACAATAGAGACAAGACTGTGTTATGATAGTATCCCAGATAAAAAGACAACCCCCACAACTATTTTTTACCTATTTTTCATCTTCCTGTTAAATTTCTAAGAAATGTTTATTCTTCCTGAAGGCAGCATTCTTTAACAAAAGCAGAGAAGGTGAGAACTAGTATGCTAATTCAACATAAAGTAACGCTTCCTAAAATAGCAATTTCCTGCATCCCTTATGGAGGTGAATTTCTTCAAATGCTAGAATTTCATAATTCTCATGTGCAAATGAGTTTGGGGTGAGGGTGGGAATTAGGGTCTCTCCGATGGCCATGTGGCGAATCTGGAATTCTAAAGTTCTTTGTGGATGGCTATA